CACTCTCTAGGCTGGTTGGACATTTCCAGTTTGGTACTAAGACCTTCATTAGTGGAGAAAGAATAGTCACTGAATGAATGTTTTCAAGGTGGGTGCTGGCCTAAAATTTCTCTTTGTATAATCATGAAAATCAACCTTATATAATTCTACCCAGAATTTCTTTATACAGAGCTGAGAGTAAAGGGGGGAAGGAGGCTTCCATCCCAAGTGAAGAAACTTACGAGCATTTTCTTTAGAACTTGATGGCATGCAAGTGATTATTTGTTGAATGATATTTTAATGCAAAAAGTTTTCAGACATAATTTTTCTATTTACTTGTTAGTCTTGATATACAGTTTCTCAGGTAAATTATGGGCATCGATAAAGGAATGTATGATATTTTTGCAAAAATGTCATGTTGGGGGCCTGTTGATAAATAGGAACAGAAGGAAAACCTTTATAAAGTCAGCACTGCACAAATAAATAACCAATGATAATAAGAGAAGTATGTATAAGCTTTCTTTTAACAGACAGCCACAAATACTAAATTTAAGCCTTGCAATTTGAAGGCCTCACCAGTTCTCTACTCCAAATTACATTGAATGTGATAATGTCATCCAGAGGGTTTATGGATATGTATCAACCATCAAAGAAATATTTGTTGAGAGAATGAATAAATGATAAATAAATCAAAATGGATATAGATTTTAGGTAACATCCATTATCTTCTCTGCTAAGTAAAATTAATAATGAATACTTAATATTAAAATGACTACACACAATGTAAAGCTATACAATAAAGAGCATGTTCTATGAGAAACCAAAAGATTGGGCAGCTTCCCTGGAGAAATGCTTTTTGGGAAGTTTCAAGTATAAAAACTATTTATATGTAACTATGTCAGATAGCAAACTGCATGAAATGTATTGTGAAGCTTGGTGATTTGATATTTTTGTGCTTCTGGATATACCTACTTCTAATCTAATGGGGATTTTTTTCTCTAAATAGGAGCGGAGAAACAACTGTGGAAGGTATATGAGTCTTAGGAAGTTTGAACACTGGTTGTAGCTATGAACTTTCAAGGAATTAATTTTTCTGAAATCATTTTGTCCAATAATGGATTCTAAGTTTCCTTAGTGAATTTAAACTTCACTACTAGAGTTTTCCAGTACCAATAATTGACTCCATACCCACCAGTCTTTTGCCAACTAATATCATGAGTGACAACCCAAAGTTAAGTAAAGATTCATCTCAACAGTTGATTGAAAGAGCTTAGTCCATCCCACCTCCACTGAACCTTCCATCACCCAGGACATTCTCTATACCTTTAATCAACTTCAAGGCATTCTCCAGGTACTCATCTTCGGTGATGGGGCAACCATCTAACTCCAGCTTCAGTGTGAAATCACGGACAGCCCAAACAAAGTCTGGAAAGAAACTCACAAATTCGGCTGAGTCATGTATTTCATAAGAGCTGGGAGAGGATTTTGTCCTGATATGCTTCGCTAGTTCACTCACGTAGCTGAATCTTAGCTAAGGAAAGAGAAGGGTCCTTTGACAAAACTTGGAGATCTATCTTCTAAAACTATTTATAAGCATTCCTATTTGTCTCCCTTTTCCCACTTCTCCATGGAACTGAATTATGGGAAAAAAGTGGAGTATGTACAATATCCACACACTGATCATACAAGACAGTTTTGCTCAAGAAGGATACTGCAGCTGCTCCAGGGCCTGGTGGTTGATGGTGCCAATGCTGTTGTAGACAAACATGCTGCTGAGTAGCACAGCCAGTGTGAAGATCCACGAGTCATTCTCGGGGTTACCCTAGAGAGTGCATTATTTAGGAGATGTAAGAGCTTACTGATCTTTAAAGGAAACAAATTCAAGAAACAGAATTTAACTTCATTGTTCAAAGGAATATGTCAAAAACTGAATTGAGGTGGTAAAGTGAAATATAAATAGGGTACCAAGAGCAAGATGATGTTCTGCCTTACCTTTTCCACATCTCCCAGACCCTCAGTGTCCAGAAGGACCAGGGTGTGGTCTGGCTTGGAGGGGTGGGGCACACACCACATCCAGATGCCCTTGGTTTTGGACTGCACAGTGGAGCCCAGAGGGAAACCTGAAGTGGAAGAGGAGAAAGTGTTATTGATAATAGGTAATCAGGTGGCAGATAGTCCAGGATGCCCATGACCTACATTGGTTTAATTTGTAGTCTGTGGCTTGTCAGTTTATATTGACTAAATATATTATAGATGTATGTTTTATGTAACCCTGTCTATAGGTAATATAGCTTGCACAGTAGCAAATATCAAAGAGAAGGAGAAGGGCCTGTAAATGACTCCTGATTGAGAGTTTAAAAAACTTCCACTCTTTCAACAAAGGCAAGTAACCCAACTTTACACATGTTTAGGAAATTCTCAAGAAGACATTTGTATACCTGGTTTATGTCATGCCATTACTGACTAAAATTATGTCACATTATGTAAGCTAGTTTATTATAAATGTTTTTAGAATTAAAAAAAAATTTTATTGAGGTAACATTATATAGAACACCATATATGATTCAGAGTTTTCAGGTTCACACTGCTCATCAGGTGTATGTTACCACACCCACCCATTATCAAGGCTTCCGTAGTTCTCACTGTGGTGCAGGCCCTCCACTCTCTGTTCCCCAGCCCCAACCCTCCTCTTTTGGAGCTTAAAAAATTGGAAAAGCAAAGGAGGCAATAAATTCTAATAGAATTCATGGATTAAAAAATGCAAATAGTAAGTAATTATGGCAAAAAATAGCAAATGATACATAATGAGGTCAATAAATGTATTGTGTATATAAATATATGGTCACTTAATCAGCAGTAAACAGTCTTTTTACCCAATTTTTTTTGGCGATGTGGATAATTCTCAGTTGCTGTTATCTAGTAGGCATATAAATTGCAGATAAAGTTTGAAAAGTTATTAATGTCTAGAATGACTGAAAGAATATATGTATATGTATTTGTATCTGTATCTGTATCTGTATGTGTATATACACACACGCACACATTCATCTGTGAACCAACAGTTCTAGTTCTTGGAATATCACAAACATAAAGGGCCTGAATACAATAATACAGCACCATTCATAAATACTAGAAGTAATACTGATGATCATCAACAACAAATCAATACATAAACTGTGGTATTTTTGTATAATAGCAAATAGTTTGGTAAAATAAATAAATAACATACCTAGGCACTTTACTATAAACTTCTTGTTGAACATTAGAAGCAAGAATACCAGAAATATAATTCCTTTATATAAAGTTAAGCTATTTTAAGACATGCATATGCAGATTATGAAAGTAATTTTAAAAATGAAGAGTAAAAGAATGCACCAGAAAATATAAACGTTTTGAGCTCCAGTAAGTTTTTGATGTTTTATTTCTACATTTGGACTGTGATGACACAGTTTATCAGATTATATTTACTAAATTTATCATACGTATTTTTATGTTTATGCAACCTTCTCCCTATGTTATTGCTTGCACATTAGGTAATACCAACTAGAGAATGGGATATAGAGGGTATAATTGAACAAATTTTGCTATCAAATGATGCAAAAATGCTTTATGATGGCCTCATTTAGATAGAATATAGTGGGTTTCAACTGTTTGTCCCTTATCCATCCATTTTTGAAAATGAAGTCCTATTAAGCAATATTTTTGTGTTACTTGATGTGACCATAATTTCTAGAAACATTGATGTTGGAACAAGTATTGGAATACTTGCTGGACCTGAGCTACTGAGCAGATAAGAGCAGCTGAGATTAAATTAATGAGGTATCCTTTGATAAAGGTTAGGGAAGGGAGAATAGGGGCAGGTGTGGTTGAAGTGATACATTTAGTGATGATAATTAGTGTTCTTACTGGGAAGTGCTAAACTTTTCCTCAAATGACCCATTGGCCTGTGTTCTCGCTACTATCCAGCCTGTGTTCCCTGCCCAGAAGCACCACTCACCGCAGTTCTGTCCTGCCAGACGGTTCATTAGGTAGGACTTTCCTGTGCGATACAGCCCTGCGATGGCCACCACCACCATTGGCCCTAAGATCTCCTCCAGAATGTTCAGTGCTTCTGGGTTTACCCTCAGCTGCTGTTTCTCATTTTCCACCAGACAGATGGGAGCCATCATGATGGATCCAGGTGCCATGGTGAACTGTAACCCAGAAGAAGAACTCCAGAAAATAAGAGTACTGTAGGTCAGAGCTCCTGGTTGTACACTCCACATACATACAGCTTTCTGCTCTGGAATGTATATCTTAATTTCTACATTTTGTGTATTTCTAAAGACCTTCTATAACTGAGAGCGTCAACACTGGTGTATTGGCTAGTGCACCCTATCTTAAATTAAATTAACTTGGTCTATAAAGTGAATAAAATGAGGGCCCTCCCTGGTGGCACAGTGGGTTAAAGCACAGCACTAAGAAGCGAAAGCCACTGCAGCATGAGTTCGATCCCCACCCCAGAGGTAACCCACATGGCACGGCAGACCTCTCCTGACCTGTCCATTGCTCCACTCAGCAGCGTACTTCAGAAAATCAGCCTGTCTGCACCCCTCTCTGTCTGTGGTGAATCCTCTCACTGCCCTGCGCCTCTGGCCTGTACCCCAGTTCTGTATGCATAAATAAATAAATCTTTAAAAAAAAGTGGATGGAATGAAAATATAAAGACTAAGCACTTAATGTTGAAACTTTAAAAACACTAACATTTGTGGAGTAATGGAGGAAAAATGGGTGCTGGAGATAATGAGCATCTAAAGTCAGTTAACCTCTCAATGCATAAATACTTCTTGAATACCTACTATGTGTTGGGACCTGTTCATGGAGCTCAATTCTAGTGTGTGGGTAGGGGGTAGGAGTGGGGAATTAGACAAGTAACAATAGGCAAAAAAGACAAAACACACATGTATTTATACATAGTATTTGCTCAAGGAAAGCAATGAAGTAATAGGCATAGGAAGTATTGGTGGCTGAAGAGCTATGGGGGTGTCTGGGAAGGCCTTTCTATGAATGAGAAAATGAATGTGTCAGCAAACGTGATGAGGACAGGCTTGGTGAATCAATAGCAGCATGAACAGGTTGGAGAAGGGTGATCTTAGGCAAAAGAAGAGAGAATGAATGGTACTCTCTCAACACACATCTCCATAGTTGCTAGAAAAAGTTATGGGTACAGGAATTATGATGAAACACACTTAAAGTGCAACCCTACCCAGTATAGGACTCTGGCTAGTATTGTAATGGTCACAGGAATTAAATGATGCATCCTGATTGTAATTTCTTGTTTATGGGTGGACAGGGCAGAGAAGGAGTAGTCACGGTGATTTGGGGGCTGTCCATTAGTCACAGTCCTACACGTGGGCAAGGTTCTAGTTTAACTCTTCATCTCAGTGATTGGGTATTAACGAAATCAACAGACAGTGAGCAGTTTTTACTGTGAACAAACACTGTATGTTCTCAAGGGAATGTTAAACATTCACGTGTCCCCATACTTTCCTATCATGTGATCACTGACACGATTATTAATGTCACTGTGCCTCAGTTTCTCTTCTGAAAACTGCAGTTTCATGCAATAATCCCCTGGTGGTTATGGTAATTAGGGGGTTCATGGTCTCATAATTTTTATAACTACTCTTCAAATCTTGCTGGTACATAGTAAGCGTCATGAAGTTTTGAGTAAAAGTTGAGAGTCTAGGAAAGAATTTCTAAATAAAGATGAGGGATTGGCTTTGGGCTGAGACAGTGACATCATCTCCTGGCAGCAAGTAGGGCAGGACACCTGTCAGGAGCAGGAGGAGGAGGAGGCAGGAGAGGACCAGCAGTGACAGCTGAGGGAGCACTAGAGGGAGCGTGAGTCAGGCCAGAGGAAGCAGAGTCCAGGGTGTCAGAGCACAGATGCTGGGGCCAGACTGCCAGGGTTCAGACCCCAGAGTTCTAATTATTTCTTGTCTGCAAGACCATGATAAAGGTCTATCTCTTTGAGCCTCCATTTCTCATCAGTGTTGCAGGCAGAAAAATAATTCCTGCCTGATTGATTAACACAGCCTATTTGCAGTCAGGCACTCAATAATTTTCAGTATTGATGTGCTATTGCAACAATGAGTTTGTTAGACTATGTCTAAAACTAGGTGTGTCCATCAGTGAGCTGCTAATTGCCAAGAAATACAAGATATACACAACCATTTTGTTCAAAAATACCACCAACTTATTTAACAGGCTTTCTGTAAGAAACCTCCTTTTCTGTTGTGAGCAGAATGGAGCTAATTACGCTCCTGTACCCCAGCATTTCCTGTAATCAAGCTGCCCATTAGCACCACCAGCACCCTAAATACCTGACATTTCTTGTGTCACAGTTTTAAGGAAACGTTTATGTACTCAACATTTGCTACACTAGTTCTAATTGAGCAGAAGACCATAAGCCAATGTACACTCAAATACAAAAGCTAGATCCAGTGCTCACTTCCGTAGTCAGCCAATTAATTCTGCCTTTACCTCACTGTAAAATACTTTCAGTAAAACTTTGTTTTACTTCTAACCTCTCAGTCTCTAGATTCTTCCACAATCCACCATATCTAACCCCTGCCACCACGACAATTTAGAAACCCTACCCACAGCTATAAACTCCAAAAAGCAAACAGTATAAGACAGTTGTATAAGACAGACCTACATGGACTTTTATTTTTGGGGAGGGTTTTGATTACTTCTTCTATTTCCTTGCTTGTAATTGGTCTGTTTAGCTATTCTATTTCTTCTTTATCTAGCTTTGGGTGGTTGCAGAGTTGTAGAAATTTGTCCACTTCTGTTAAATTGTCCAATTTGTATGCATATAGTTGCTCATAGTATTCTCTGATTATTCTTTTGATTACTGCTGGATGTGTTGTGATTTCTCCTCTTTCGTTTAGTGATTCTGTTTATTTGTGCTTTCTCTTGTTTTTTCTTTGTGAGCCTGACCAGTGACCTATCTTGTTTATTTTTTCAAAGAACCAACTTTTGGTTTCATTGATTTTTTGACTGTTTTCCTAACTTCCATTTCATTTATTTCTGATTTGACTTTTATTATTTCTTGTCTTCTGCTGGCTTTTGGGTTATTTTGTTATTCTTTTTCCAGTTCTTTAAGGTGGGACATTAGGTTGTTTCTTTCACTATTTCTTGTTTCTTTATGTGAGCTTGTATTGTTATATATTTTCCTCTTATAACTGCTTTTAATGTGTCCCATACGTTTTAGAGACTTGTGTCACCATTGTCATTCTTCTCCAAGTATTTTCTAATTTCTTCTTTGATCCCCTCATTGATCCAACAGTCTTCCAGTAGTGTGGGTTTTAGTCTCCACGTGGTAGGTGGGTTTCTTGCCTTCTTCATATGGTTTCTTTCTAGTTTGATTCCTTCGTGGTCAGAGAAAAGAGTTGGTATGATTTCGATCTTAGTGTATCTATTGATGTTTATCTTGTGACCCAGTATGTGGTCAATCCTAGAGAATGATCCATGTGGATTTGAGAAAAATGTGTACTCAGATTTTCTGGGGTGCAGTATTCTATAGATGTCCGCTAGACCCATGTTGTCCAGGTCCTTGTTCAGAGCTTTAGTGTCTTTACTTATTTTTTTGTCTTGTTGATCTGTCCATTGTTGAGAGTGGCATGTTGAAGTCTCCTACTATGTATGTATTTTCTCTGATATACGTTTTCATGGATGACAGTAGTTCCCTAATATATTTTGGTGCTCCTTCATTTGGTGCATATATGTTGATGATTGTTATTTCTTCTTGTTGTATTGTCCCCTTAATCATAATGTAGTGGCCTTCTGCATCTCTTTTAACCTTTAACCTTTTTAGTTTGAAGTCTATTTGATCTGATCTAAGTATAGCAGTTCCTGCCTTCTTTTTTGGTCCATTTGCTTATAGGATTGTTTTCCATCCTTTTATTTTCAGTCTTTTTTTATCTTTTGTAGTTAGATGTGTTTCCTGTAGGCAGCAGAATGATGGTTTCTGTTTTTTAATCCATCCTGCCACTCTGTGTCTTTTTACTGATGAGTTTAAGCCATTTACATTTAGAGATAATATTGATATACTGGCACCTACATTTGCCATTATGGTCCTTCTGTATTTTTATTCCTTGTTTTCAACTGTTCTTGTTCATTCTTCTGTTGGATTCGGTTTTAGGGCTTCTTGTAGTAGTTTTTGGAGTGGGGGGGGGTTTAGTCATGACAAAATTGTGGAGTTTCTGTTTGTCTGATAATGTCCTTATTCTTTCTTCGTAGAGGAAGAAGAGCTGCGCAGGGTAGAGTATTCTTGGTTGGCATTTAATGCTTTGGAGTTTGTTGAGTATGTCCCTCCACTCTCTTCTTGCCCGTAGTGTTTCTTCGGGAAGTCTGATGTCATCCACATTGGTTTCCCTTTGTAGGCTATTTGTTTCTTCCCTCTTGTCATTCTCATTATCTTTTCCTTGTTTTGTAATCTTGGAATTTTTATTATAATATGTCTTGCTCTTTTTCTCCTCTCATCATAGTAGTTTGGGGTTCTTCTTGCTTTTTGGATGTCTACTTTCATCTCCTTCTTCAAATTAGGGAAGTTCTCTTCTATTATCTCTGTGAATATTTTCTCTATTCCTTGGCCTTTCTCTTCGCCTTCTGGGATACCTATAACTCTGATGTTTCCTTTCCTAATGGTGTCAGATAGCTCTTGAAGTGTTTCTTCATTCCTTTTCCTTTATACTTCTCTTTCTTTTTCTTTTTTAATTCTCTTTGTTTCTCTGTCTCGAGGGTGCTGATTCGTTCTTCCATTTCATCTATTCTGTTTTCATAACTTTTCCCAGCATTCTTTATCTCTTCTAGTGGACTTTTCATCACCTGCATTTTTTCTATTTCCTTTTTTAATGTCTCATTTTCTTTATTCAGTTTGCTGATTGCTTGTCTCATATTTTTTTCATTGCTTTCATTCGTTTCCTTCGACTCCTGGATGGTTTGCCTCATGTCATTTTGTTTGTTTATCATGATGATTCTGAATATCTGGTAGGTTGAGCTGTTCTTCTATTTCTTTGGTGGGTTCTGTTGCCTGATCTTTTTGTGTTGAATTTTCCCCCTGTGGACTTGCTTGAATATTTGTTTTTCTTCTTTTCCCTGTTGTGTATTTTCTGATACTTTCTATTCGCTGAGACACGCT